CACGATGGAGCAGAGACACCAGTCTGACCAGTACAACAGAAAGGTGAAGGGTCTGCCTCTTTCACTAGGGGACCAGGTGTTGTTGGCAAACAAGGGAGTCAGAGGAAAAAGGAAGCTCTCTGACAAATGGGGACCTGTTGTGTACACGGTAGTCGACTTGGATCCTGCTCTTCACATCTGCCGTATCAGAGACAAAGAAGGTCATGAGCGTGTGGTGCATCGCAACCTGCTCCTTCAAGTTAACCTTTTGCCCTTGGATACAACATTGAACGACGATGCTGCACATCCTGCTGTGAGCGTTGTCAGTGGCCCCCCTGAGTCTGACCTGGATGGGTCTGTGACATCTTTTGGGGACACAGGAGCGTACCTCCTGCCACCCGTACTGTGGATTCCGTCTCCAGCATTGGCGAGTGTGATGACCGCACACTATCATGGATCCATCAGCAATCCGCCGCTGACCCAGTCGAAGATGGCGTTCATGAGACCCCTCCTATGATAGGTGCTAATGTTATAAGTGTGTAGTATGTGTGTATCATAAATGTGTTTTAGGTGCCCTAAATGCTATGAATATATACTCCTTGCTAGCTTGGAAGTTGTGGTGGGTTGAGCTAACCCTCTTCCCCACTGTTTGTATTTGGTCGTAGAAGCTGGAGTGGGCAAATTATTTACTTGGAGGCCTTTCTTTCTTTTACCTTTTTTATCAGGTATGTTGGATTTCATGTTGTTGTTGTTTTTTATCTTATGTCAAATATGTTAAGGACTAGAAAAGCGCTATACAAATGCAGGCCATTTACACTCACTCTTTCAAATAGATGCAAGTAAAACACAGCAGAAAATAAATAAAATCAAAGACTCAGCAATCCTGTTGCTCTATTTCTCTATTTGCTCTATTTCACCTGTATAGCAGGAGTGGGGCAGGCGGAGGTTTGCCCTGGTGCAGGTGTGTCGCAGCAGTCAGTGGAAGGATCTGGGAGTTTCTCTGTGAATTTCACATTACCGTGGCAGCGTACTCAGTGCTTGCTCGGAAGTTTAGGGGAGGGAGGGGGGGGGGAGTTTCGCTGTAAAAATAATGTTTTATTCTCATGCAGTGAACAGCTAATGTTTTTGTCACTTTTTACAGAATCAAACTCAAAGTAAGGTCAGTACTTCCACGCTTTAACCCTTTAAAACCGGTCAGAGCGGGCACTCTCCGTTTTGCGCAACTACTTTTAAATCCCGGTAGCACTGCAGCCATGTAAGCTAGCAATAATTTTTTTTGCATATGAAACCGGAGGAGTTGTACTTACATCTTATGCCATCAGCTTGTCCTAGGTCATAGTTTCCTTCCACATATAGCTTTGCAGAATCTGCATAAAAAGCACTTGCAGCAACAAAAACATAATATTCCAGAAACATGCTTTGCCGATCCGATCAGCTGTTCATACCACTTCCTAGTTACAATAGACGACAGCGTGAACTATCGCATTACCTGCCCCGAAACCGGAAGTGGCGTCATTTTCGCGGAAATGTAGTTTTTTACCATCAGGGCCTCATGAGCATATACTGGTGTTTTTAAAAGTTATGTTTGACTTTATGACTTTCTGTGTCGTGTCTGGGATGCTTAGAACTCAAATTGCACTGCTGGAAATAATTTATTTAGATGCATATGCTGCTTTTTTGCAAATTAGGACTATAATATTTGTTTTCATTTTTCCTGCAGTATATAAAAATTGGTGTATTTCAAAAATAAAACTATGAAGACACTCAAAATAAATTTCCTGTGGTGGGAAACTATTTTGTGCAACTTTTTTGTATTTACAGTTTTGAGGGATAAGCCTCTTAAATTTCTCTAACTAGAAATATATGTTAAAAAAACAAAAACGATTTTCAATTTTTTTGTAGTTTATTGCACTTTCTTGCATAACTAAAACCGATTTAGAGTGCTTTATTTAGCTGTGTAAGGTAATAACTGAAAATATGAAATAAACACACATGTAAGCTAAGACTCTCTAAAAAAAACAGCATTGTTGTTCGGCTTTTCATTTCGCCATTTGTTCATTCACTTGAAGAGCAAGTAACATAATATAGGTCAAGTGATCAGTTTGATATCAATCTTTTGTGATACACCGTCATATTTACATTATTTGTCCAGTATGAAAAATTTGCTTTGGTACCTGGTCAAACTCAAACTCTCTTCTCTCTGCCAGTGCACTTCTCCTACAGCAAACTCGCAGGCAGCAGCTTCTCTCCCCGCTTCTCGCTCACATGTGTAAGTGTTCAGAGTTCATCTTTCCCAGCCAAGAACAAGACACCGTCCTCCAAGAGAAGTGGACTCAATGGCTGAGCAGTTGTCCAGCTTTGATCCAAGGTTGTCCCTGGTTACAATTCTGCACCTGGAATTCAAATCCCTGAGGGAATCGTGGAGTTGTGTCAGCAGCAGGTGGAAACTGAACAGGCCTGATCCGGCTGAACACTGAACCTGAAGTCTCTGTGGCCACAGTCAGAGCTAGTTAAGTTCTCTCAAAAGGAAATGTGCTTCAGTGCTACCTTTATTACCTCTTTTTGCAGAGGAGACACTAAAGCATCCTTTATGAGAGGAAGTAATTACATTCCATAATTCATAGCGATGCATTATCAAACCATTAATGAAAACCATCGACAAAAGTGATTCACATCATATCAATGTTGATTATCATTATTCCTGTTTTTCATTTCAGTGAAGTGCTGATATGCTTTAAATTTTGAACATCATGCTGATGGAATGAAATCAGATTTGTGTGTGACTTTGCATGAACAACAACATTTATAAACTCTCTGAATCCAAATTATAAGATCTATTACACGGATCAAAGTGTGTTTAGGGTCCGCTCCAGTTTACTTTGTATGATTAACATCTGCATTATCATATATTATTCACCACATTTCTTCTTTCTTCTTTATAAATTCTCATTCACATCAGAAAGTAGGCATTTTTTTTATTCAAACATTCCTTGATATTTAACTTTCACAATGTGTTAAAGCTTCAGTCTGTATCATACTGTGTGTGCTATGTGAAATATTTTAATCTAAACAAAAAAAAAACTCTTTACAAAAAGTTTTCTCATATTTATTAAAAAGCATTATCACTCAGAGGCTGTGGAGAAAGAAATGTGAACACCTGGAACCCCGCGGGCACTGACACAGCTGACCTGAATGACTTGTCTGACTCCGCCCCCAACAGAACTTCTCCAAGTTACACTGAAAATGAATCACAGTGGACACTCAGGTGGCATGCTTTATTTTGAAAGGACTTGAGTGGTTCTTCCCTGAGGTGTCAGTTTATTTTTACCAGGACAGTGACTCTGCGTCTCTTCAAACGCCGACAAAGTCCAGGAAGTCGTCTGAAGATGTTTTCCTTGACAGCTGAGGCGATGTTTGAAGCATTTACCTGAGAGATGACAGACATATTAAAGGTGTCTTATTCTGCTTCATATTCCATGTTTTTTAATCAGAGACTAGGGCTGAACGATATATCGCATTTGCGATAATATCGCGACATGATCAAGTGCAATTTTCTAACCGCAAAGGCTGCGATTATACTCTGGACATGTCCAAATTCATGGGCTGCATCCTCCTG